GTTTTCAGCAATATGTAAAGCAGACTTATTATCACAGTAAAGTGGAATGGGCAATGGTACCTTAACGCCCATCTCGGATAGCAAATTCCTCAACCACTGCACTTCACAGACAACCTGTGCTAAGGCTCTGTATTCCGCTTCTGAAGAGGATCTAGAAACAGTGGTCTGTTTCTTTGTTTTCCATGTGATCAGTGAAGTTCCTAGGAAAGTACAATAACCAGTAAGAGACCTCCTGGAATCAGGGCAACTTGCCCAATCAGCATCACAAAAACCAGATAATTCCAACTTTGAGTCTGCTCTGAAAAGCAGACCTTGACCAATAGTCTGTTTCAAGTATCTAATCACCCTGTGAGCAGCTTGTAAATGTTCAACACAGGGTGCTGTCTGAAATTGTGCTAATTGCTGCACTGCATAGGTAATGTCTGGTCTTGTGATTGTTAGGTGGTGTAACTTGCCTATCAATCTCCTGTAGACACTAGGATCTGGTAAGAGTTCTCCCTGTTCTGCTGAAAATTTTGAATTGCAGTCTACAGGTGACAAACATCCTTTAGCTTCTAAAAAGCCTGTGTCATCAAGTAACTCCAGGCAGTATTTCCTTTGACTGACTGAGATTCCCTTGTGATCTCTGATCACTTCCAAACCCAAGAAATAACAATCTGCCCAAGATCTTTGACCTTAAATTCCTTACTCAAGAACAGTTTCAACTGTTCAATATCTCCAAGGTAACTTCCTGCAATTAAGATGTCATCAACATACACAAGAACAACCACTACTCTTCCTTGTATCCATCTCACAAATATGGAATAATCTGAAGCTGTTTGTGAGTAACCATTCTTCAGTAAAGCAGCAGTGAGTTTTGCAAACCACTGCCTACTTGCTTGCTTCAATCCATATAATGACTTTTTAAGTTTGAAAACCAAACCTGAATTCTTAGGAACATCAACACCAGGGGGAATCTCAAGGTAAACCTCTTCATCTAAATCTCCATGGAGAAAAGCATTGGACACATCCATCTGATGGATGTGCCAATCTTTGGAAGCTGCTACTGCCAACAATGTCTTAACTGAATTGATTTTTGCAACTGGTGAATAAGTGTCAAGAAAGTCTATTCCATAGATCTGTGTGTAGCCTTTTGCCACTAAACGTGCTTTAAACCTTTCAATAGCACCATCAGACCTATATTTAACCTTGAAAACCCACTTAGCACCTATAGGTTTCTTCCCTGCTGGTAGTGTGACAACCTCCCATGTCTGGTTTTCATACAAAGCAAAAATCTCTTCCTTGCAGGCCTGGTTCCACCTAGGATCCTTACATGCCTCAGCATAGGAAGTAGGTTCTTCTATAGACAACACATTGAGAGCAAATGCTTTCTGAGAAGGAGTCAAATGTTCATAACTGACCTGATGAGCAACATGATGTTTAGAACTAGAAGCTACCACCAGACTAACATGGTAATCTTTGTGCCAGACTGGTTTGGTATGCTGTCTTTTGGATTTTCTTAAAAACTCAGCCTCATATGTCTCATGAAGATCAGGGAAGACCTCAATCTCCATATCCTCCCCTTCAGAATGCAAACTGACATTGCTGTCTAAAGAACTTGCTGGTGGGATTGGATAGGTAGAAGAAGAAGGAACAGTAGGGGAAGAGATAGGTGTGAAAGTAGGAGAAGAGTTGGCAGGCTGATGAGGAGATGAGGTAGATGGGAGAGATATATCAGTAAGGGGAATGGATGGACATTGAGGAAAAATGGTATCTGGTATGGGAGGTTCAGGTGTATGAGTAGGAGAATGGAAGGGTAAGATGGACTCATAGAAGACCACATCTCTGGAAACAAATGTGGATTGAGAATTAAGGTCAAACAGCTTGAAACCCTTAATACCACTAGGATATCCAAGGAAAATGCACTGTCTGGCCCTAGAATCAAATTTAGTCCTGTCCCTATGCAAAGTGGAAGCATAACACAGTGAACCAAACACCTTCAAGACATTTAAATTTGGTGGTTTTGAATAGAGAATCTCATAGGGTGATTTATCAGCTAGAACTGAGGTGGGAAGTCTGTTTATCAAGTAAACAGCATGGAGGATGCAATCACTCCAAAACCTGAGGGGGATACCATATTGAAATCTAAGAGATCTGGCTACATTGAGGATATGCTGATGCTTCCTCTCAACTCTAGCATTTTGCTCAGGAGTCTCAACACAAGACTGTTGATGGATAATACCATGAGTACTGTAAAACTCAGCCATGTGGAACTCAGAACCTTGATCACTTCTAATGATCTTAACCTGTTTACAAAACTGTCTTTCAACCATGGTGCAAAAGGATTGCAACAAAAGACCAGCTTCTGATTTCAACTTCATCAAAAACACCCACACAGCTCTAGAGTAATCATCCACCAAAGTCAGAAAGTAGGAAAATCCATCATGGGACTTCACAGCCAATGGCCCCCAGATGTCTACATGTATCAATTCAAAAGCATCTAGTGCTCTACTAGTGCTAACAGGAAAGGGAAGATGTTTGTGTTTAGCAAAATGGCAAATCTGACAATGAGAAACTACATCACTATTACAAGGAATTGCTTGTTTCTCCTTTTCCTTGCTGGGATGTCCTAGTCTCCAGTGCCAAAGGGATATATTTTGTGGTTGAAAGTTGTATGAGAAGGCTGCTTGTGGGACAGGTAGGATGGAAGCTTTGTTCTTGGTGTGTAACTGATATAATCCTCTACTCTGTCTTGCCAAACCAGTCCTTTTCTGGGTCACCAGGTCCTGAATTTGACAAGAATCAGATTCAAAGTGTAAGGATATAGGTTGGTCATTGGTCAATTTGATAACTGATACGAGGTTAAATGTGAAACTTGGCACCAGTAGGACATTGTCTAAGGCTAGGTCAGGAGATAATTGAACCTTTCCTATGTGACTGACCACTACCTTAGTGCCATTAGGCAGGTTAACAAACTGATCATTGACAGGCACAGCTTCAGTGAACAAAGCAATACTGCAGGCTATATGATCAGAAGCCCCAGTATCTAATATCCAGGTATGAACAAGAGGTTCTGCTCTATGCTGTTTGAAAGAAGATAAGATAAACTTACCAGCATAGTTAGGGAGCTGAGTAATGCCATGAGTGACTGAGAAAGCCTGATGGTTGATAGAAGGAGATGCTGGTGGAGAGGGACTAGGAGAAGGAACATTCTGCAGCAAATATCTCAGCTTACTAAGTTCCTCAGATGAGAAACCCAAATTCTCCTTGGAAGACACACTCCTAGACTCTGAACTGAGTTTGGAGTCTGAGCTTCAGATATCACTGTCATGAGAAGATTCCTCATGAGAAACTGCAGCAGCAACTCCTCCAGACATTCTGAGTTTCTTGTTCTTTAGCTTCCAACATTCATCCTTCACATGACCCTCTTTCTTACAGTAACGGCAAAACTTCTTTCCATCTTGATCTTCACCAGGAACAGCCAGAGCCACTGTTTGCACACCTCTTGTAATCCTCTTGTCAGCCTTCAATTTTTGTTCATGTTGCAACACATCATTAATTGCAACTTCCACTGTGGGAAGTGGTTTCTGTAACATCCCGTTCCGGCAAAACCCATATTTCGATCGCTAGAAAGTTCGCGATTTAAAATCGAGTGTTTTGACAATATTTTGGCGAAAATCGGATTATCAATCGATCAGATAAGTATACGTATTAATTTTTTATATATATGTATATATATACACACACGGTTCATTTAAATCCCCACCCGTCCATTTAATTCACATCATCATCTATTCCATTTTCCACCGAGAGGCAAAAACCAGAGCGAGCGGAGAGAGCGTACAGGGGAACGTCGGGGGAAAAAAAATCCAAGGCTCGATTCTTGAGCATAAGTGATCCAAAAATCCCGTAGGTAATGCCTAATCCATCCATTCATCGTGATTTATTGATTTAGAGCTTTAAAACGAGTTTTTGGTTCAGGAATTTCTTGAATTCCCGATAAGCCAAATTAGGGTTTCGGAGTATCCGAAAGCCGGATTGAGCCCATATTTCATATACGAGCTTCCTGCAGCGAGGTAATCAATCCTCTAGTTCTAATCCCTGAATTTCGGCTATTATTTAGGTCGGGGTCCAAACCGCTGAATTTAGCTCCGGCCAGGGTTTGATGTGTTTTTATCAAGAATTTGACCCGGAGCCTAGAACTAATATTGACGGGGATACTGCAGGGGATATTAGGACGGTCTCGGATTTTAATTCGGGGTTCGTTCGTGAAATTGACGTTTAAGTACGGGAAGGTTAAACCGGGGTTTGAACGACCAGAACTAGTGAGGGATTAGCACGGCATACCGGGTTTGTCGTATCACGATAATTATGTTGATGCTTAGAATTGACCTAGGTGAACTAGAATGGCATGATTAGGGGTGTATGAACTTTTGTGCTATATGTTGAACCCTGGATTGCTGTATGATATTAGTGACTTGCCCTAATCGATATGAACCTTGTTTATGCTGATGATTTCGTATATGTTGCAAATTGTGGGCTTGACTGTTGATATGCCTTATGATGGTTCGAAAAGGTGATTGGGTATGACATTCATGATTGATGTATTTGGATGTACAAGTGGGAAAATATATATCTCATGGTGATATTATGATATTTAAGGAGGATGACTTGCACGAGGGTTTATCCCGATGAAGTGCAATTATACGACTCCTGGTTTACCTATGTTGAGCCAATTATGGCCAGGTCAAGTACATGTGCAAGTAATGAATTATGATTAAGCAAGATGAGATATGAATCATGTATAAGGATACCAAATATAAGTGTTGTGGTCTCACGGTCAACTACATAGTAATTAGGGCTCTCTATGCTATTACTCTATTATGATATGTATGATAGTCACACCTCTCATGTGGTGGTGACTGAAGAATTCTTACGAGATATGACCACACCCAGAGCGGTGTCGGGGTATGACTACACCCATAGTGGTGTGGGGTATGTATGACCACATCCGACGGGATGTTGGGGTATGTATGACTACATCCGACGGGATGTGGGGTATGTTTCCCGGGAGAGTTATTAGCATGGGAGTAGCCAGGCGCCTATAAGTAAAACATGATAAGATGCATATGCATAAGTCAAGATGGTTGAGTCTTTTGCCTATTGGGATGTCGGATGGCTGAGGTCTGATCCTAGTGCTTGGGCTTATTTGCTAGATGTATGGTAGGGGTATGCTCTGTTATGAACTCACGATGCTATGATTATCTCACTCAGCTATGAGCTGACCCTCTTTTATTCTTCTTCTCTGCTTATGCTATGTGTAAGCAGATCATCAGCAGCAGCAGTAGATAGGTGTTAGGTTAGAGAGGAGCTAGAGTTGAAGTCAAAATGAGGTATGGTCTTCAACTATTCTGTGCTTGGACTACTACTCGGCATTTTGGCCACTAATCCACACCTTTTTGTAAAATGTTTTGAGAACGTTTGTCATGTGCATACTAGCTTCTGATGTAGTGTGAGCTATCCACAGGTGTGGAAAGTTGATGATATGTGTATATTTGTGTAATTATGTAAGTTGTGACGATTATGGCATGTATCAGTATAATATGCAGTCGTGTAACATGAAACTGTGACTATGGCTATGAAAAGCCAATGCATATGGCAGTGAGTGTATATGTTTGTCTATGAATGCATGGATCTAGATGAATTATTTTGCAGGATTAGATGGAAGAACTGTTAGCCCATTACGCGAGTAATTCATGTCGAAATTTTATTTGGGTAAATTTTGATAATTAGTGTAACACCCGAGATTAATTACGCTGCAATTGTATGAACAATATGATTAGGCAAAACGTATAGGGTAGGGTGTTACAGTTTGGTATCAGAGCCCGGTTCCCTCTTTTTGCTGTTATGGCGTACTATACCCTATGAGAGGTTAAACACTCCTAAGGAGGGGAGTACCCCATAATGACTTAAACTGGGAATTGAGTTTGACATGATTATGTGTATTGGTATTTTTGATGAAATTACCTGCATCATGGTTTGCAAAATTGAGTTTTGAACTTATTTGTTTTCAAGTAATTATTTTGGAAATTTTTGTTCTAACCAACTGAGAGATTTGGTGAAGAATAAATTTTGTGTGGATCAATCTAAGGCCAATATTTCCTTGTAGCTCCCACGAAAGTTGTCATAATGTTCCTACTGACCAGTCGAGAGGAGTGGGGGCGGTTGATGCAAGACCGCCAGTATTAGATTATGCAAAGATGAAGAGTTTGGGTGGTAGGGACTTTAAAGGAGATGTGAGTCCAGATGCTGTGGTAGAGTGGTTGAGGGAGATGGAAGATGTGTTTGAGTATCTTTATGCAACCCCAGAGGAAAAAGTGCAATATGTTGTTTTTCTCCTAAAGGGGTACGCGAGGAGCTGGTGGTCCTCAGTCTCTAGAGTTAATGGTGAACGAGTTCAGTTCACCTGGGAGGAGTTCCTAAAGGCCTTTAAGACAGAGTTTCTTCCCGAAGCTTTTATCAGGGCAAAGAACAATGAATTCGCCAACCTTAAGCAGGAGAATATGACAGTTACTGAGTACACCATCAAGTTTGTTCGATTACTCTACTTTGAAGATGGGTTGGCGGATACTGAGCATAAGAAGAAGATGAGATACTTGCATGGGTTGCGCCTAGGGTTGAAAGAAAAGATCTACAGGGTTGATGAAGAGAGCATGGCCACAATCAAGGAGGCAGCACTTAAGTATGAAGCCTATGAAGTTGAGGGTAGAGAGGAACACAAAGCCAAAGAAGAGGAGAAGAAAAGGAAGCTAGGAGTAAATTATTCTGCACCTCGTTATCCATCAAGGAAGGGTACTAGCAGTTTTGGGAGAACCCCGAGTCAATCTATGTCGGTACCATCATACAGGGCACCAATTTCCTCAGCCACACAATTTCCATTTTGTCAAGTTTGTCAGAAGAGGCATCTTGGAGAGTGTAGGAGATTTTCTGGTGTATGCTTTCACTGTGGCCAACCTGGGCACATCATGAGGGATTGCCCGCATTCGAGAGAAGTAAGAGCCACACAGTCCGAGCCTTCAGTGCAATTTAGTAGAGCCCCATTCAGGGGTGGTTACAAGGGAGGCCGTAGTGGATTTCAGAGTGGTCGTGGTTGTTCACAGGGTGGTAGAGGTGGTGGTCGAAATCAGCCATCAGGAAGTGGTACGCAGGGTACCAGAGCACAGGGAGCACCGAGGGTTTATGCAATGACTCGAGGTGAGGCAGAAGTGGCACCAGAAGTTGTGACTGGTATGCTTTCTATCCTTGGCAAGCAATTATATGCTTTGATCGATACTGGTTCCTCTCACTCATTCATGTCATATACGTTTGCACATATGCTACGCTTAGTTCCAGATAAGCTAGGTTATACCTTATGTGTTAAAACACCTGTGGGAGATACCTTGAAGGTAGACTCAGTTATTAGAAGTTCCTTCATTTGTGTGGAAGGAGCTTTCCTAGCAGCAGATTTAATTCTGCTACCTTTTGATGAATTTGATGTCATCCTTGGAATGGACTTTCTGGCAACACATGGAGCTGTTGTGGATTGTCAAAAGAAAGAAGTGTTATTCAACACACCAGATAAAGGTCATGTTGTATTCCGAGGCATTAAGAAAAAGGAGACTCATGGTTTTCTTTCTGCCTTGGAAGCTTTTCGATTAGTGAAGGAAGGTTGTGAAGCCTTTCTTGCTCAAGTTACTGTTGTAAATGATAAGAAGGTTGAGGATGTAGAGGTGGTAAGGGAGTTTCCTGATGTATTCCCCGAAGAACTTCCCGGCCTTCCACCAGAAAGGGAAGTAGAGTTTGATATTGAATTGGTACCTGGCACAACACCAATTTCAATGGCACCATATAGAATGGCACCAATTGAGCTGAAGGAGCTTAAAGGACAATTACAAGAATTGCTAGACAAGGGGTTTATTCGACCTAGCATCTCACCTTGGGGTGCACCGGTTTTGTTTGTCAAGAAGAAAGATGGCTCCATGAGAATGTGCATTGACTACCGGAGGTTGAATAAAGCAACAGTGAAAAATCGTTATCCCCTTCCAAGAATAGACGACTTGTTTGATCAATTGCAGGGTGCATCAGTCTTTTCTAAGATTGATTTGAGGTCTGGGTACCATCAACTGAAAGTGGCAGATGGAGCGACCAGATATGGGCATTATGAGTTCCTGGTAATGCCTTTTGGACTCACTAATGCGCCAGCAGTATTTATGGCTCTTAGGCATTACCTACGGGATTTTTGGATCACTTATGCTCAAGAATCGAGCCTTGGATTTTTTTCCCCCGACGTTCCCCTGTACGCTCTCTCCGCTCGCTCTGGTTTTTGCCTCTCGGTGGAAAATGGAATAGATGATGATGTGAATTAAATGGACGGGTGGGGGATTTAAATGGACCGTATATATATATATATAATTAATACGTATACTTATCCGATCGATTGATAATCCGATTTTCGCCGAAATATTGTCAAAACACTCGATTTTAAATCGCGAACTTTCTAGCGATCGAAAAATGGATTTTTCCGGAACGGGATGTTACAATTCTCCCCTCCTTAAAAGATTTCGTCCTCGAAATCTAACCTTGAGTTGATACTACGCATCCGCTCGTTCTCCTGCTGGCAGACACTATCACATATATTGTTACTACTTGAATCTTAGGTTAGGAGATCTGAAGTACATAACTAAACACATAACACCTCAAGTTCCCAATATAAGGTTTCAAAAACTTATACTGGGCTATCACAACAAAACACATCAGCAAATTCAAAACATAACTTACTAAGCAAGATTGTTAACCTGCAAAGTAGTTTGCTACCAACTCAGGGTACTTCTCTCGCATACTTGCTTCAGTTTCCCATGTAGCACTCTCACTATCTTGATTTCTCCACACCACTTTCAACATTGGAATTTCCTTCCTACGAAGAGTCTTAATCTGATAATCAACAATCTCAACTGGAACCTCTTCAAATGTCAAATCTGGAGCCAACTCGATCTCCTCTGGTTGTATAATATGGGAAGGATCCACTTTGTACCTCTTCAGCATACTAACATGAAATACATTGTGGATTTGAGATAGTTCTGGAGGCAATGCCAGTTTATATGCCACTGGTCCAATCTTCTCTGTGATTTCATAGGGTCCAATATACCGAGGTGCAAGTTTCCCTTTCTTACCAAATCTCATTACGCCTTTCCAGGGTGACACTTTGAGAAATACTTTCTCACCAACTTCGAAATTAACTTCACGCCTATTCGTGTCAACATAAACTTTCTGTCGATCTTGAGCCACCCTCAAACGCTCCATGATTTCCTTAACCTTGTCAACTGTGATCTGAACTACCTCTGGCCCTGAGATTTGCCTTGCTCCTTCTACATCCCAACATAATGGTGTTCTACACTTCCTCCCATAAAGTGCTTCATATGGTGGAACACCCAAGCTACTATGGTACTGGTTGTTGTAAGCAAACTCAATTAAGGGCAAATGGTCAATCCATGATTCCTCCCATTGCATTACACATGATCGAAGTAACTCCTCTAAGGTAAGGATGGTTCGTTCACTCTGCCCATCTGTTTGAGGATGATAAGCGGAAGTAAAATGAAGTTTAGTTCCCAAGGCATCATGTAAACTTTGCCAAAACCGAGATGTGAAGCTCGGGTCTCGATCAGAGACAATAGAAATTGGCACACCATGCAATCTGACGATCTCCTTAATATATAGTTGAGACAAAGTCTCCAGTGATGGTTTCCATCTAATGGGTAAAAAGTGAGCCGATTTGGTCAGTCGGTCCACAATAACCCATACTGCATCTTTTCCCCTTGATGATGGGAGACCATATACAAAATCCATTGTGATTCTTTCCCACTTCCATTCTGGAATTGGAAGTGGTTGCAGTTTCCCTACAGGAGCTTGATGTTCTGCCTTAACTTTCTGACATACCAGACATGTGAAAACATGTTCAGCCGCTTCCTTTTTCATCCCACGCCACCAAAAATATGGTTTGATCGTGTGATACATTTTAGTTGCTCCTGGGTGCATAGCATAAGCAGAAGAATGAGCTTCATCTAGGATCTCTTTCCTGAAGTTATCAACATTAGGAACGCATGCCCTTCCATTAATCTTCAACATGCCATCTACCATTTCAAATGGGCTTTCTTTTCCTTCCTCAATGTCTTGAATGATTTTTGCCAACTCTGGATCCTCCTTCTGCTTTTCACGAATTTTGTCGTGCAATAAAGGTCGGATGTTCAACCGAGCTAGTAACCCTGTTACACCATCCACTTCCAAATCAACATTCATTGCCCTCAAATCAACCAGATCATTTATATTCTTCTTCCCCTTTCTGCTTAGGGCATCAGCAACTACGTTAGCTTTACCTAGATGGTAATCAATTGTACAATCATAATCTTTTAGAAGTTCAATCCATCTCCTCTGGCGACTATTTAAATCCTTCTGATCCATAATATACTTCAGGCTTTTATGATCAGTGAGGATTTTAAAAGTCTCACCATATAAATAATGTCGCCATATCTGGAGAGCAAATACCACCGCTGCCAACTCCAAATCATGAGTGGGATAATTTACTTCATGAGGACGTAATTGCCTAGAGGCATATGCGATAACTCTTCCATCTTGCATTAACACACAACCCAATCCTTGATACGAGGCATCACTATACACCACAAACTCTCCCTTATTCGAAGGTAATGCAAGTACTGGTGCTGTGGTCAATCTCTTCTTCAGTTCATCAAAACTCTTTTGACATGATTCATCCCAAACATACTTGGTATTCTTCCTCAACAGTTTAGTCAATGGGGCAGCAATTTTGGAAAATCCTTCAACAAATCGCCGATAGTTACCAGCCATGCCAAGAAAACTTCTCAACTCAGACACATCTTTTGGTGGAGTCCAACTCACCACTGCTTCCACCTTTTTCGGATCCACCTCCACCCCTCTTCCAGAAATTACATGTCCCAGAAATATTACCTCCTTCAGCCAAAACTCACATTTTGAGAATTTTGCATATAATTGTTTCTCCCTTAGAATTTGCAACACAATTCTAAGGTGATTTTTGTGCTCCTCTTCGCTTTTAGAATAGATGAGAATATCGTCTATGAACACAATCACAAACTTATCAAGATATTCATGAAAAACTCTGTTCATAAGAGCCATAAATACTGCTGGCGCATTAGTGAGTCCAAAAGGCATTACCAGGAACTCATAATGCCCATATCTTGTTCTAAGGGAGATATGCCTTATGATGGTTCGAAAAGGTGATTGGGTATGACATTCATGATTGATGTATCTGGATGTACAAGTGGGAAAATATATATCTCATGGTGATATTATGATATTTAAGGAGGATGACTTGCACGAGGGTTTATCCCGATGAAGAGCAATTATACGACTCCTGGTTTACCTATGTTGAGCCAATTATGGCCAGGTCAAGTACATGTGCAAGTAATGAATTATGATTAAGCAAGATGAGATATGAATCATGTATAAGGATACCAAATATAAGTGTTGTGGTCTCACGGTCAACTACATAGTAATTAGGGCTCCCTATGCTATTACACTATTATGATATGTATGATAGTCACACCTCTCATGTGGTGGTGACTGAAGAATTCTTACGAGATATGACCACACCCAGAGCGGTGTCGGGGTATGACTACACCCATAGTGGTGTGGGGTATGTATGACCACATCCGACGGGATGTTGGGGTATGTATGACTACATCCGACGGGATGTGGGGTATGTTTCCCGGGAGAGTTATTAGCATGGGAGTAGCCAGGCGCCTATAAGTAAAACATGATAAGATGCATATGCATAAGTCAAGATGGTTGAGTCTTTTGCCTATTGGGATGTCGGATGGCTGAGGTCTGATCCTAGTGCTTGGGCTTATTTGCTAGATGTATGGTAGGGGTATGCTCTGTTATGAACTCACGATGCTATGATTATCTCACTCAGCTATGAGCTGACCCTCTTTTATTCTTCTTCTCTGCTTATGCTATGTGTAAGCAGATCATCAGCAGCAGCAGTAGATAGGTGTTAGGTTAGAGAGGAGCTAGAGTTGAAGTCAAAATGAGGTATGGTCTTCAACTATTCTGTGCTTGGACTACTACTCGGGATTTTGGCCAGTGATCCACACCTTTTTGTAAAATGTTTTGAGAACGTTTGTCATGTGCATACTAGCTTCTGATGTAGTGTGAGCTATCCACAGGTGTGGAAAGTTGATGATATGTGTGTATATTTGTGTAATTATGTAAGTTGTGACGATTATGGCATGTATCAGTATAATATGCAGTCGTGTAACATGAAACTGTGACTATGGCTATGAAAAGCCAATGCATATGGCAGTGAGTGTATATGTTTGTCTATGAATGCATGGATCTAGATGAATTATTTTGCAGGATTAGATGGAAGAACTGTTAGCCCATTACGCGAGTAATTCATGTCGAAATTTTATTTGGGTAAATTTTGATAATTAGTGTAACACCCGAGATTAATTACGCTGCAATTGTATGAACAATATGATTAGGCAAAACGTATAGGGTAGGGTGTTACAGTTTCATCATCAGAATTTGTGTGTGAACCACATCAAATTCTGGTCGAAGGCCCTTCAAGAACCTAATAAGGTAGTCAACTTCCTGCTTCTGCTTAAATGCCTCAACTGCTGCACATGGTTGTGTCCTTTGTGGAGCACAGTTACAGTCAACAATGGGATTGAATTGCAAATGCTCCTCCCACAGACCTTTCAAGGCAGTGTAGTACTAGGTAACGTTGAGGTTTCCCTGTTTACAAGCAATAATTTGGTCTCCTAGGTTTGACAGTTTAATAGCATTTGCATACCCAAAACGAGCTTTCAGCTCTTCCCACAAATCACGAGCTACATCATGCTGCATCACGCTTCTCCTAATCTCTTTGTCAACAGAATTCAAGATCCAACATAGAACAAGAGTATTGCACGCATCCCATGTACTGAAATTAGGACTAGCTACTCCTGGAGACGGAATCGATCCATCTATAAAACCAATTTTGTGTTTGGTCTTCAGAGCCATTCTCATGGCTCGCTGCCACATCTGGTAGTTGGGTCCATCGAGAACTTCTGAAACGATGGCCTGAGAGATGTTCTCATTTGGGTTAATGTAGAAAGGGTTACCGAATTGGGGATCTGGACGATCGTTGTTGTTGACGTTAGAACCTCCACTCGTGGTGCCTGAGAATGAGCCGAAAGGAATGCCTCCTGGAGGTGTGTTTGGAGTGTTTGGAGGTGTGTTCGTCGCCATTGTAGGTCACTGAATGAGCAACCGCTCTGATACCATATAAAACTAGCTACAGCTAGGGTTTGCGGAAGAAGACGACGGCACACAAAGGTGGGGAAATGCGCAAGAGAGCAAGGGATCTCTCTGCTTTTCTATATATACTCAACTGTAAAGTGTTCTTCAAGATACAAAATACTGGAACAGTAAAAACGGAAATGATAAACTGAAATTCAAAGTTACAGTAATAGTAAAACGACAGACGGCGTGCATCCATTCGCTCGGTGAAAGTCCACCCAACGGTTAACTCTGAGACCTCCACAACGACGTCGCTTTGGCTCTTGGTTTAAGTTGGATGGAGGGAACCCAGAAACGTTTCGTTTCTGGGTTGGTTTTCCTCTGCTTCATTTCGATCTTCTGCACTTCAGCTCTGCAGATTCTGATCATCATCTTCTTCGGTTGATAGGAGAAGATTGCTGGTCGAAGTTCGGATCGGCGCTGCCGCCAGTGAAGTTACAATGAGGAGGAACGGAAGAAAGTCAAATGCGGGTGGGAAGGAACGAAGGAGAAGAAGGGTTTCAGATAATTAATTTAATTTTAATTTGTTATTTATTGTCTGTTTACGATTTTGCCCCTAATAAATATTGTTGTTACTATAACAACATTATATGTGTTGTTATTCTATCTTATCCCGCCGTGGGGCAACCAGTCATATCTTTAATCAGGACGATGCCAAGTCAGAAATATGGGATAATTAATAAGAACCTCTTCGCTAGTGGCATCCCTGTGTCAACTAAATTCAAGTGCTTAGTTTTCTTCCAAAAGAGTCGCGAAGAAAGAAGCGATCCGATCCAGTTTGTGTGAGGTCGAGAATGGAGGGCGGAGAAATTGAAAAGTTGCTCAAGGTATGGGTTTGGGTCTTCATCTCCCTATTCTACTCTTATCTCATCCCTAAATCCATCCCCAAAGGACCCAAACGCCTAGTTTCCATCCTCCCCGTCGTCGCTCTCTTCCTCTACTTGCCCCTCAACCTTTCCTCCGTCCATCTCGCCGGCCTCACCTCCTTCTTCATCGCCTGGCTCGCCAATTTCAAACTCCTCCTCTTTTCCTTTGGCAGAGGCCCCCTGTGTAACCCGCCGCCATCGTCCCTCCCACTATTCGTCGCCGTTTCGTGCCTCCCCATCAAGATCCAGATCCAGCAGCCGCCGCCGACTGCAGCTTCATCCTCCAGAGCGCTCAATTACACGCTCAAGGCCCTATGCCTCGCCGTATTGATACGCGTATACGACTACCGGGACCGTTTTCATCCGAAACTCCTCCTAATCCTCTACGTCTTCCACATCTACTTCATGCTGGAAATCATCCTCGCCGCCTCCGCCGCCTCCGCAAGGGCGCTCCTCGGCTTGGAGCTGGAGCCGCAGTTCAACGAGCCCTACCTCTCCACCTCGCTTCAGGACTTTTGGGGGAGGCGCTGGAACCTGACGGTCACACGGATCCTCCGCCCCTCCGTCTACGACCCGACCCGGGATTTGTTCACACGGTTCGTGGGGCCCAGGTCGGCTCCGCTGCCAGCTGTGTTCGCCACGTTCGTGGTATCCGCGTTGATGCACGAGCTCATGTTTTATTACATGGGCCGAGCGAGGCCCACGTGGGAGACCACCTGCTTCTTCTTGCTCCACGGGGCGGGCGTGACGGCGGAGATTGCGGTGAAGAAGGCCGTCAAGGACAAGGACAAGGGCGGGAGGTGGTCCTCCTGGTGGGTGGTGTCAGCCTCGAGAGTGCTGACCATGGGATTCGTCACTACGACTGCGTGCTGGCTCTTCTTCCCCAAGTTCGTGCAGTGTCAGTTGGATGCCAAGGCGTTTGAGGAGTACGCGGCGGTGGGCGCGTTCCTCACCAATGTAAGCCACAGGGTTTCTTATATCTAGCCGGCTCCACCCGTTAATTGACGGTTCCCGTCCTTATTTTTCCACCTCTTCATTGTGTAACACCTTCACGTTCCTGCGATGCTGATTTTAGACGTTTATTATTTTTACTAGCGTGGCCCCGGCCGGAGAAAGGTGAAAAAGGTGAAAGGTGAGGTATGAAATTTGATAATGTAATGGGATGTATAGTTTTTTTTGAAACACGTGATAAAAATAATGAATTTTAGCAGGAAAGAGACATGAATGATGCAACGAATCAAAAATCGGCCTTATGAACCAAAATCAAGTATCTGTTACCTTGTGAAACAATATTGTTTCCGGTAATATGATGAGGTGGAGTAAGTTTTATAGAAACTGGATTCCAGAAAATCGAATAAAAAATCGTCTGTCTCGTAGGTTTTCGGAAAATTAGCATCTCACAATCGTTGCTAGTTTTTACATGACCTGTTGCCCGATTAATTTGCTTTATAAAACTTTCATCTTGTCTTCATTGTGCTTTCTGGTTTTTGTCAGGCCATGATAAAATCTATGAAAATCAAAAACAAACAACACGATTTGGGATAGGAACCACCGTTGTCGTATCCCTAGAAAATGTTGGTAAACACGGAATCACCTGCCAAACTGGTTTGGATTGAGATTTTTATCGAGTATCAGGGAACCATGTGATTATAAATTAGACTTGATCAAAACGGGCCAAAACATGAAATTAAGCCTGTTTGCCGACCCATGCAAAATTCTAATTATTCTTAACTTTTAAACTTTCTATTTGAAAATAAAAAATAGTGAAAGAAAAGAGATGAATGCAATTCGCCATTTGCACATCACTTATTCGGGAATAAAACCATAGAAATTCAAAAGGAACTGAAAATGTTTAGGATCGTTTTAATGTTTAAAATAACCAAATAGATCTTTCTATTTAGTTTTTACTAACAAATACCAAACGATTCCCTGTAAAATACACTATAATTTGATCATTATGATATCAAATAATTATATAATATATATTTGAAATGATAAAAATTGGACTAATTGGGTTGGTCGAGGTTGAACCATTGAATAACTTTAAAATACATTATATTTTAGCCAATGATGTTCATTTCTTTTACTTGATGGCCAAATCCCGTGTAGGTCGGCCCATTCAACTCTTTTATTTTATGGTTAGCGGTTAGCCCATTAGATACCATGCATTAGTTTATTGTTAAATTTTTTATTTTTAGCAATAAAAAGAAGTATTATTTTTGCCTTTTCATATATATTTTATCACCACGGAGAAATAAAAGGGCTTAAAGAAAAAAATTGACACTCCTGGACCCGTTTAAATCCGCATGTGTACGGTAAGTTGGCCCGTTCCACAGAGGAAAGAGAAAAAAATTGACACTCCATATTCTACCCTTCATACAAACGCTTTTAGAATGGCAAACCAATGATGATCATTTGTTTTACTTGATGGCCAAATCCCGTGTAGGTCAGGCCCATTCAACTCTTTTATTTTATGGTTAGCAGTTAGCCCATTAGATACCATGCATTAGTTTATTGTTAAATTTTTTATTTTTAGCAATAAAAAGGAGTATTGTTTTTGCCTTTTCATATATATTTTATCACCATGGAGAAATAAAAGAGCTTAAAGAAAAAAATTGACACTCCTGGACCTGTTTAAATCCGCATGTGTACGGTAAGTTGGCCCGTTCCACAGAGGAAAAAGAAAAAAAATTGACATTTCCTATTCTACCCTTCCTACAAACGCTCCTGCAGCAGGGAATTTGAAATGGGGGGAAGAGTTTTTTCCTCCCTGCTAATATATATTTTTAATTTAAAAAGATACAACAAATGTACTTAGTGTGATTGGTTATGATCGTTGTTTTTCTTTAAAATGGTCATGGTTCGAATCCCAGTACGTGTCTTTTTAATGAATAAAAAAATGTAATTGTGAAGACCAAAATGTCCTTCCTACTTTCACTCTCGTTGCAGGAAATTTGAAATGGGGCTCCCGTTTTTCCCTTCGGCGTATTATAGTATGTGCAGATTTTTTAGCTGTTAAAACTTGTACGAGTTTTTGACTTTTCATAGGGCAGCTAGGGTTAATCACGAATATGGTTTGATGCGAATCGAGCATGGAAACGCTAAATTCAAGAATTGAAAATGGATGTCTCATATTGAATCTCTCAAATAATAAATACCTTATAAAGAAAACACATCTATATCATCCTTAGGCTAACTCCAATGGAGTCTCTATAAATGAGGGAGCCTCTATATTTGGGGGAAAGTTGGCTCCAATGGAGCCTCTATAAATGGAGGAGTCTCTATATTTGGGGAAGATCTCCAAAAGGATCCCCAAATTTGGGGGTCGAAATGGGGGTTCCCCCAAATATAGAGACTCCCTAAAGTCCGCCACGTGGCGTTTCTTTTTCTTTTTAAGATTTTAAGGGTTAATTGGGGTTTAATTAGGGAATTAGTTAGGGGTTTAATTAGATCAATAATTTTCAAGTGTTGTGTGTAAACCCAAATTAGGTCAATCATTTTTTGTCAACAAAAATTTTAAGTACATTTTTAAGAAAATGAAAAACTTAAAAAATGGAGATCTCCAAATATAGAGGATGTAGCATTGGAGCAAAATAAAAGAAAATGGGGATGAACCCCAAATTTGGGGATGAAGATCCCCAAATTTGGGGGCTTGCAATTGAGTTGGTCTTAATGCCTTATCTACATATAAAAATAAAACAATCCGTCAAAACGTAAATTACAGACATGAAATGCAAGTATACGAACAACCACACCACAAGTGAAACACTTGAATTGGTAGGGTAAGATACCTCGGGCACCACATAAATTTAAGAATTGGGGCATATATATTACTTAAATTTGAATAGGGCGCCGGGTACCATTATAGTTGCCAAAATGTACATCCGTCTAGTTTTCCATCCAACCCAAAATTTTAATTACTTTTTGGTACCCAAAACTTTGAAAAACATCCAAAAATAGATTTCAACAAGTTTTTATCTAATATAGAAATTAAAAAACCTTCTAAACATAATATTACTAAAATGACAAATTAAAATTGACAATAAAATAGATAAATTATTAAAAATAATAAAAAAATATCAAGAAGAAGAATAAATATACAGAATATAATAATAAATATTTAAAATTAATATTAGAAGATCTATTTAAATAGCTAATCCAATTAGAAGTACTATTAAAAATAGTTAAAATAGAACCTAGTCGATCATCAATACATCAAGACCAAAGAAGGATAAATGAAATCCAGTCAGAAAGAATTAAACATATTCCAGTAATTGAAGAAAATTTAGAAAGAAAAGAGAACCGAAGTAACCAAGTAATAAATAAATAAAATCTACAACATTGCGTAACAAATCTTGAAAAGAAAATACGACTATAGGAAGAGAATTAGAATTAGTAAATTTAATTAATATGGAACATCTAAAATATAATATTAGAAAATTACAAGGATATTTAACATAGAAAATTATACAACACCAGCATGATGTACGAGAATTAAATATAACATCCTCAGATTATTTATATCGATATAGAATTCATAGTATATATTTGCTTCGGCAAATTATTCGATTATTATAACATATAATGGTAATTGAAAATAATTATAATGATAATTGATTCTACAATTCCTATTCAAAAATTGGTTTGGTATCAAAGTCTTCAAAAGAGGATTCCAACTAAATAGAATTTATAGGATATATTTGCTTTTGAAAATAATTGAATTATTAGAAAACATAATGATAATTGAAAATACATATAATGATAGTTGATTCTAAATTTTCTATTCAAAATTAATTTGGTATAAATTCTTCAAAAGAGGATACAACCTAAATAATAAAAATTGATGTTTTCATAAGTCAAAATGATTTTTTACAATAAGAAAAGTAGAAGGACCAATTAAAAAATTTTGAAAACATAATATTCCAAGAATATTCTGTTAACTTTAACAGAATGCACCTAACATTAAACTTAAGTGGTACGGGGTGCATAAATAATAGAGTTCAGTGGTACCCAACGCTCTATTCAAATTTAAGTGATATGTTTGCGCCAATTCTCAAATTTAAGTGGTATCCAACGTATTTTATCCTGAATTGGTAATGTCCTTCCACTCCTAAGTGGATCCATGCTCAATGAAGTAGAAAGGGGTTTGAGATCTTAAATGTAAACTACTCAGAAAAAAATAAATATATGGATGAAAACTTTGCTAATGAAATCGATTCACAAATAGTACTATTTTATGGAGAGTATAAAACTCGGCATAAAGCATAAACAACCAAGAAAAGAGTAAACTAGGGAACTGGCATTTTCTATCTACTAGCTTTCTGTGCAGTCTGTTGGTCTGATTGAACATAAATAATGTGAACGTCTATTTGCCGCCAACTAAAAAAATTTGAATTCAAATTTTGAATTTTCCCTTCCTTTCATTCTATAAATTCGGATACCAACAAAAACTTCTGTCGTCGAGCTCAGTGCCTCCATCGCCGGCACCGTTCCTCCGTCGTCGGCCAACCTCCCGTAGCCCTCAATCGTCGAAAAACAATTAAGTTTAATTTTTCGGTAAATTTTCCAGTTTTCCGGCGAGAAACACGGCGGGCCGAAAAAAATAATGGTCGGGACGCCGACGAGCCAAAACACATTTGCGGTCGGGGCGCCGTCGGGCCGCAAAACTTTTTCGGTCCGGCGACGAACCGGCCGCAGATTTATTTCGGCCCTACCGGATTTCGCAGGCAATTTAATTTAATATGTTAATTAATTAGTCAATAAAAAATTACTTAATTAGTTAATAGAAATTAGCAATTAGTGTTAATATTTATTTAAATTGGTTTATGAATGTTTAATTACTTAGATTAGTTAATAGAAAATTAATTAATTAGTGATTGATTTAACAATTAATGTTAATGTTAAGTACATTAGTTAATAGAAATTAGCAATTAGTGTATTTCGATTGGTGTGAATGTTTAATTACTTACATTAGTTAATAGTAA